ATATATATAATTAATTTCTCCGTATTTAATCCGGGGTCATTCACTAGTTTTTCAAGAAAAAGAGAATAAAGTAAACTAGATGATTCAGATATTTTATTTCATATGAGAGATCCTTTAAATTTGCCACGTGTCAATGGTTCTCTCATTCATTTTCAACACTTTCAACTACATCAAGCTTGTTTCAGGCCGCCAATCTCAGCCCTTGTTGTCTTTTTACATCCTATTGATAACACACTCACATACAATAAAGGGGAATATTACTTGAACCTTTCATTTTTTTTTTCTTTTTGACAAAAACAAACTTCTCCTGTATTTTGAATTTCTCAAAAACTGTCGTTCATGTTTTAAATAAATATGCAAAAGCACCTCTTTTGTTAATTGTTTTGATGGAAACTGATGATATAATGCTTTAAAGTTTTAAAATTCCTATTTTGTTTTTGCCCATGAAAAATTTTCGAATTACTATAAAAAAGTGATTCACTTTATTTAAGTGGATCTTGTTGTTCCTTCCTTCATTAAGTAAACAACAAACGCCAAGTTGGAGTTGACCTTAAAGCTCAATCTAAAAAGAGGTTGTTTAAGAGGTGTATTTAAATATTTATTTATAATATATAGGGAGGTTTTTGTTAGGGTCAAAGTATAGAGGTGGTTTAAGTAAACCTACCTAGGGGCGGAGTAAGGAATTTTTTATGAAAGGGGACCTAAAATGGAGAGGAAGGGCAGGTGAAAATAAACATGGATGAGTCATTCGGGGGGGGGGGGAATTTTAAGAGACATATCGAGATACATTTTAGATATGTATAGATACGGATGAAAAATTAAATATATCCTAAAAAATATGTTAGGAAATTCAAATATATCCTAAAAAATATAGTACTAACAATAATTACAAGTTTTAAATGATTGTAAATAAGTTGTTTAAATGTAAAAATCCATATTTACACTCATTTAATTGTAAATAATTACAATTAACAATTGTTGAAAAATGATGGAATAAATAAAATGTGAGAAAACAAAAAAAAACTAAAATATGAATGTGTATACATCAATTTTCAAATAACCAATATAAATGTTATGTGTGTACATCAATTTATATTAATATTTATTAGTATATAAATTTTAATAATTAATTCTAGCATTTATTAATAAATATTCATTAAGAAAAGAGAAAATTTACTTAAAAATAATAATGCATACAACTATAACTAACAAATGGGCGTGGCCTAGTGGTAACTTACGGTTGTTAAAACCTAGTGACTAAGGTTCTTATCTTGCCATTATTTAAAGTAATAAGAGAATTCGAATTAGGCGCTAAAATTCAAATTTAAATTTAAATTAGGAGTAATTGACTAATTAATGAAAGAAAAGTTATAATTAAATATATAAGTAATTAAAGAGCTTAATGAATGAAGGGTACCCAAAAAAATTAAGTGTATCGAGGGGTGTTCACATTAAATGTCAAATTGACCTAACCTGAGTTGGTCTGTTTTTCATAACTGACTGGTTTCGGTTTGTATGAGAAAATAAACAGACAAATCAGTTAGCTTTTAGTTTTTATACATGAAAACCAAAACTAAACCGAACCGAACTGATCTTGTATGTTTAAGTAATTACTAATTAGTCCCTACCCTATATGTTAAGTGTTGATATATTTTATTTGTGTTTTGTTTGAAATTTGAAAAAAAATTGGTTATTTATGATAAAAACTAAAAACGCAAAACCAATACAAATATAATACAATGGTACAATATTTAATTCAATTGTGTATAAATTTAAATATATATTGACAAAAAAATCAGTTTTGCATAAAAAACTAATTGATTTAATATATATTTTGGTTTTGCATAAAAACTAAAAAGAAATAAACTTAAATATAAATAGATATTTAGATATAGATATTTCAGTTTAAAATATATATAAAAACCAATTAAACTGATAAATGAACCCAAACCGACCCTTCATGTTTGGGCTGGTTTAGCTTCAAGGTCGGTCGGTTTCAGTTTAGTTAATAAGTAAACCAACTAGGTCGAGTCGATTGAACAAAATGACTCAAACCAATCAAACCCGACCTGTGAATACCCCTAATTGTATCAAATTGTTTCGGGCCCGTATCAGTCAATACAGAGCCAAAACAGCTCAATACGGGTCTGTATCGGTGCAATATATACGAAAAAAAATAGAACAGATTATTTCTACACGTTTCATGTATTGGGCTCTTATCAAAATAGTACATAATGATTAATATGACCTGATACGTTGTAAAATTTTGAACCTTAGTGGAGAGGTAATATAAGTGAGAAGTTCTGGGCCGGGGGGAGGGGGGATGGCTTCCCTAGGTCCCTCGGCTTTGCCCTTGGGGGTCCTTAGATGTATCAAACAATTGGAATAAGTTTTTATGTGGCAAAGAGTGCAAAAAGTGAATGCATTTTTTTTTTTAAACCCAAAATAAGTGTGAATGCAATTTTGTTCAAATAAGTGTGAATGCAATCCAGGTTTAGTTTGGCATCAAGAAATTTATTGTGATGGAGGCAAACAAGAATCCTAAGGCTGGAATCAACGTATTTTACATTGACCAACTTTGATGGCAAAATTTGCTTTTATAAATGGAAGCAAACTTGGCTCTCATCTTTAATACAAAAATTATGAGAAACTTTACCTTCATTTATGCGCTCTTACAGAAAAAGATATGTTACATTACAAATGAAGGAGTTGGGATCTTCTGCCCACGCCTACCCACAATACACTACCTCCTGTGAATTGRAAACATTTCCCCCTGCATGATATTATGAAGAGGATGAGATGTTCTCCATGTATGACTGCGATAAACGTGAACAAAATTTTTGTGGACAGAACACCCCCTTCCCCCAAACTTTCAACTGTAACAAAGAAACACCATCAAGTTTTAAATTCTAGCACTTTACCCCACTTTGTTAATGGACTTGACCACAAAGATAAAATTACAAAAATACTCATTCGAAGTTCGACACTTTTTTTCCTGTCTTTCTATACTTTCCTCTTTTCTCTGTATGCAATTTTATGTATTTTGTTGCTAAAGTCTGAAAGTTTAGTAATAAAAGTCACATGAGAATCTTTTCAGGATACCCAAGATGTATTGAAACCGAAAATTTTCGTGAGAACCCTCAAAATCCCCCCAAAAATAAAATTTCTTTTATGGCATGCTATTGCTGGAAAGGTTCTCATCAAAGCTAGTTTACAAGAAAAAGGCTGGGAGCTGACCCAATGTGCAATAATCTTTGTGGTTTAGAGAACCAGGAGACACGGACCCACCTGTTTGTGAACTGCACTCAGGTACCCCTCAGATCCCATGAATGCGAAGATAGATTAGCTTGGCTCAAGAGAATATATGCTAAGTCTAAGGTAGAAAGTTTGGCCTTTGTTATTTGGAATATTTGGCTTCAAAGAAATAAATCGATCTTTGATAAAGAGACAGTATTGCACCCAGACCCAGCCCGTCTTATTGACAACGCGTAAGGCGACCATTGACATAGATGATCGGTACACTATAAGGTTGTGCGATGAAGAGGCGAAGAGCACTATTATAAGGTACATTAGTTGGTCCTCTCCAAAGTTGAACCAGATTAAACTCAACTTTAAGGGTCTGTTTAGTTTATAGTCGGAATTGGAATTAGAATGGTCTATTCTCATAGTATGTGTCTGATAGGAATGTGAAAGAGAATTGGAATCAATAGGAATGAGGAATGATCCCATGGGAGGGGCAGGGAATGGTCATTCCCTCAAGTGGGGGATTGCCATTCCAGTAGGAATAGGAATGAGATTCCGATTCTGCCCAATCAAACAGTTAGAATCGAAATAGCCAATTCCAATTCTGATTCTGGACCCCTATTCATGCAAACCTAATGGGGCCTAAATTGATGCTTTGTGTCAAGGGGATGATGGTCAAGCTACAATTAGTTGGGTTGCAAGAAACTGCAATTAGTTGTATCAATGAATTGGACTTTGCACTGCAAGCCTATGCTCACACCATTCCAACAGCCTCTTGCGATCTTATATTAGAAATATCTCCCCATGAAATAAAGCATAGAAGTATAAAGATATTTCCAATGCAAGATTCTAAAGACTGTTCGAATCGGTATTGCACTGACTTAAGCCGAGTCCCAAACCAACTTGCTGTCTTGCTGATCGATTAACCAACCGAGTTGGAGAACACCTCTCACTACCAGGAAATTTGTAGAATTAAGCCAGTAGTTTTGCTTAGTGCTCTATTCCTTTATGATGTGTTTGGTTACGATCCAATTTTATTTGTATTARTACAAATGCATGAAATACAAATGAAAAAAAAATGCAAATTCTTTTTTAATTTTATTTTATTTTGCTTCATGTGTTCGTTTGCACTGTATCGAACAAAATAAGCTAAAATTTAAATTAAAAATAAGTGAAAATTTACATTCAAATCATTTGCACGGTTATAATTTTGCATTCAAGCAAATTTATTTACATTGCAACCAAACACGTGGCAATCTGTAATTTACCTTATCATAGTAGTACACAAAAGGACGTGCATGAAAGGACCCACTAATCTACGAACACGTGGTGAATGACACCTATGCTCATGCTCAACCATGCGGAGACTACGAAAAGAAATGCCCGGACTTTATGGTCCCCACATAAATGCCAGTTGCCACGTTGTGATCTCTGGTCTCTTCTTGTCTTGGGTAAAACCGGTGGGGTAATCACTGCATGGTAGAACATGGGACCCACGTCTACATGTATGACGTGGCATATGGTGATTGGACCACAATTACTTTCTTTTGGTGAAAATTGATCCACAAATTAATCAATTATTAATTAACCCAGCTTTAAACCATAAAAAGTTACAGACATCTCGCGCTCCCTGCCTCTCTCTCTCTCTCTCTCTCTCTCTCGTATGTAAGTCCCTTTCTCCTGGATCTCTCTTCGTCTCTCTATACGGTGAGTGATCCATGTAGTAGGGTTTCTAATTGGACTACAGATCACGAAAAATGGAAGGAATTTATGGAGATTTCATGGATTTCATAAGGAAACCGGTTATCGTAGAAACATTAGTCGACATTTTGCTCTGTGCAGTACCTATTTGGGTGGCGGTGATGATCGGTTTAGTTATCGGTTGGTCATGGAGGCCCCGGTGGACTGGTCTCGTCTTCTTGGGCCTTCGTAGCAAGTTCCGGTTCATTTGGACAGCTCCGCTGGAGTTCGGAGCCCGTCGGCTTTGGCTTGCTTTTACCGCGCTTTCTGCATTCTCTGTTGGTCGCAAGCTTTGGTCGAATTTTAGAGGAAAAGGCGACGAACCGCCGGTTTCGGAGTCGGTATTGGCAGCTTTGACGCAGTTGGTGGAACGGACCGGCAGTGGTTTCGAGTGAGTTTTTGTTCTTTTCCCTCTTCGGCTTTTCTTGACGTATTTATGATTATAAACTTATCTTTTGTCGAACTTTATTCCCGTTATTATCATTTTATTGATTTCCGGTGTGTCTGGGTGAACTTTATGGAGTCAGTACCTAACACATCAATCGGGAAAACTCTTCAGTCATTTAATCAATGCTTAAAAAGAGTGTTTACATGGGTTTATATAGAGGAAGAGGATGCAAACATATTACTTGACATTTGCAATATATATTTTTTTGATAAGTTTGACATTTAAAATACATTTATTTCCCTAAACAATAAAACTTAAAGAAGAAATACTTGATAAGAAAATGTTTCATGTATAGAAGACCAAGACGACAGTGAGCACGCCATTCTATTGGTTCTTAGTTCACGAAGTGTTTCAAGGAGCCATCTTTTGATACCTTTGTTTTTGGATTATGGCTATTTGTTTGTAAGTCATAGTTGGTAACCTACGATTTCCATAAAGAGGGGATATGACTCTCCATTTCCTAAAATCTTGGACACAGATACGGGTACGGGTGCTCCATGTAATCTGCTATTTATATCCAGTTTTTGAGGTTCTCAAGCATGTCTTGTGAAATTTAATTAAATTCCTAAGATATACAGATTTTTTTAATAATATAGTTTGTTAAAACATTGCCATTTTGAATACTTTATTAATGATATAAAGTGACACCTAGAAGTATGCAGTATCCGGTATTTTCCAACACTGGTATGCCAGGTTTATTCAGGTATAGGTATCGTAGTTATAATAAAACCTCTATGATTGCACAATTCCATTGTAAAAATCTTAGTGTGTACATGGGTGCTAACTTTTGTAGTATTTTGCTATATTGTCAATGAAAAGATCCTTTGTCTCCATCTTTTCTGCAGCTTTAGTGGCATAACTTCAGGGGCAGAGCAGGACATGGTCTCTGAAAAGGATTTAGAACACCTATTGTATCTTCTTGAGGGGAGGGTGGGGGACACATCATGGCAAAGTATGATGGAACGCTTCACTCCAAATATTGCATATCAAGCTTGGCATTATGAGCCTGAGGTAGATATTGCATTTTAGATTGGATAAACCTTTCTTTATCTTTTGGATGCTGCAAGATTTCACCTGCATTCCTATTTCTTTTAAACAATGGTCTATGTGGTAGTCTATAATTCTATATTGTATTTTCTTTGTTATGCATCAAATAGTGTTGTTTTCTATCTTCTTTTTTTCTTTATTTGTCTTAATTAATTTTTATTACCATGGACAGAGGATTTCACCTTTATAGTACATATTTAATTAATACAGTGTTGTAATATGTTTGCACAAATGTGCAAAAGAAAAGGAGCCAGGATGTATTCATTACTGAATATGCTATTCTATTGAGACTGCTGCAGTCTTTGGAAAGTTTCCTTGGTTCATTATAGTTTATTATATACCCATCATCTTAAAATATGTATAGATATTTAATCATTTAATTGAGAATTTTTTTGAGAGACTTCCATTTGTTAGCTCTAATACTATAAAAAACATCTTGTTTTGAATGGTAACTAGTCAGAAGTTTATTAATAAGAATATGAAATCATAAGATTTGATATTCTTATTAAAAATAATACAGATCCTTCTCACAGGAAGAATCATGAGAGCTAGCTCCACTGATACTCTTCCCCAAACTACATGACTTCCAAAAGAGAAGAAATTAAGCAAAAGTAGTACACTAATCTGGGGGGGGGGGAACCCAGAATAGTGTTCGAGAAGTGTCTTACATGTTCTTTCCCATGCTAATGAACCAACAAGAGAATTTGCTCTGTAGAACCCAATTTAATGATGCATGTAATCTCATAACCAAGGATATGAATTCCCTCATAAAGTGTCTTAACAACTACAGACTAGGACCCACAATCCTTATCCATCCTATGACTTAATTTCCCTCCACCTGCAAATGTGTGTTCCCCAAATGTGCATCCCAACTAGATTTTCCTAAGTTAGAAAGGTTGTAACCATTGAAGTTCAACTTTATGAAGCTCAGTAATGGTGGAGAATAAACTTGAAACTTGGTACTTTCTGTTGTTGCAATACAGCATCAACTTTTCAAGTTGTCATTGTATTTCTGTTAGTCTTCCATTGTCTTGACTAGCATTTGAAACTGCCTCTTGTTTACCAGACAGGCCCAACCATTTACCGTAGCAGAATTGTTTTTGAGGATGCAACTCCTGAGCTTGTTAGAGATTTCTTCTGGGATGATGAATTTCGACCTAAATGGGATCCCATGCTTGCATGCTTCAAGGTGTTGGAGGAATACCCTCATGAAGGGAAAATGATTGTCCAATGGGTGAAAAAGGTTTATGAAAAATTACAATTTGTGAATTTGCATAATTGGTGATGGTCTTTTCTTTTGTTTCTGTTGTCTTGTCTCTACAGTATTCTGATTGATATCTTGGCCTGGTTATCTGTGATTTTCAGTTCCCATTTTTCTGCAGTGATCGAGAGTATATCATTGGTCGACAAATATGGGAGTCTGGAAAGACATATTATTGTGTGACAAAGGTGAGACAACTATTTCTTTAATTGAACTCTTCATTCTGCTGATGACTTCTTATTCTCTAGTTATTTAAGTTCATCAATATGCCTTAGGTGTTATGTATTTTTCCTTGGGTAACAACTTGTATTTTTTTTTTGACATCTTAACTGTGAAAAGTAGCTTGACAAAATATTTCATTCATGCTCAGGAAATGAGGCAATATATATATATATACCATGGGCCTCAAAAAACACCCAGGATATGTATAAGACTAGTCATAATTCTGTCAGCGAGCTTTTTGTTTTTTGTTTTATCAGTAATTTTTCTAGCAAGCTATTAACACAAAAACAAGGTGTCTGTCAAAAATTCTGAAGTCCTTCTGAACTGATAACCAAGAACATATCTTACCTTTAATTCTCCTACCGCTTTGTGCTCATCAACAAACACATTCTGGAAAATGTGATCGTTCCTCCCCCCCCCCCCATACACACCAAAACACAGCCGAAGGCACCAACTTCCAGACAGTTTTTCCCCTCTTGCTTAAACCCCCAAGATGGCAGCTTTGCATAAGTTAGAAAATAGACAAAGGATAACATCCCATCCAGCCAAAATTTCAAGTACAGTGCACCAGAGCTAGACTGTAAAGGGGCAATGCGGAAATAAGTGATTTGCTGTCCCCTTATTCCCTGAGAATAGAACAGTATACATTGTCTAAAGGCATCCCCCTACTCTGCAGCTTGTCCTTAGTCAAATACTTTGATGGGAATCAGTCCAGGCCTTACCTGTAGGAAGAAGGCCAACAAACAGGTTCTGATTTGGCATGGGGAAGATTCTTGGGAATTGGACTGATCTGGTCAGGGTCATTTTTGTCATTTTGAGTAGTCCCATGTGGGCCTGGCCCATGGTATCTTGTTTTTTTCTAGTTTATTAGGGTTTATCTTTGAATTTTCAGTTTAGGCTCAGTTTGGAAGGAGTACAAATGCAAATTTGTACAGTACAAATACAAGTAAAATAATACAAAATACAAGGTTTTGCACTCTACATATTTGCATTTCTACTCCTTCCAAACTGAGCCTTAATTGCATTAGTAGGTGGAAAGTTACTGATTTTTTTGATGCACAAGATAGGGAGTGACATTTTGGTAATTACGACGAACAGTGGCCACACAAGTCACTTTCTTTAAATTGATGTATTTTCTTCCTTTTGAAGCTAATGAAGATTTCTCTAGAGCTCTTTTGCAAGTTTGCTGTATTGAGTGATTCCTATAAACCCTAGATGATTCTAGGTCCCTTGTAGTGATTCCTTGGGATTTCTTTCTCTTTTCTCTCTCTACCCTTTATCTTCTCTCTATATTTCTCTTTCTCAGATTACAACTCATTCTGTAGTAGCCTGTCAAGCTCTATCTGTAGATATTGAGGGCTGGAGTAGGGGAGATTCTAGCTTGTGTCAGCTTATTCTAGCGCTGCTGCATGCCTGCATCACACTTCTCCAAAACTGCTGCCAACAAGAATATTTTAATTTTTGAAGAAGCAGCATGATATTTGATAGGAGAGAAAATAGTTGAATTAATTTTTTTTGAAAACTATTTCCCCAGGGCTTTTTCATGCTAGTGGGTGTTTTTTCAAAGTGGTAATGCCTTTTTTGCTTGTAGCAGTTGTTGCACGGGCTCATTGTATAGACTTGTCCTCCTAATTGGGAGTTGGGTGTATGCCATTTTTTCTTTATCTTAATATATAGTATTTGTTTCCGATCCAAAAAAGAGAAGAGAGAAAAAAGGAAAAATGTTGCTTGAACTAGGGTGAAATCCTTTCCACAGATTACTAGCAGCATAGAGATTGTCTTTAAATATTGAAAGTTTCAAGAGAAGTTTGGAAATGGCATAAAATTATCTGGTTTAAAGGTATCATTAGAGCCAGGAAGGTTGGGGGGGGGGTGGAAGTCCTGAAATTTAAGAGATCGTAAATTATATATAATTAGTGATTGTAAAATAGTTCAAAAAATAACCAGTCCATTGACTCGTAATAATATCTATATAAAATTACAAATGTGGTTTCAAGAAAAGGAGAGAAACCTTGCTGAAGTAAAGGAGTGTATAATAATGACAAGGACAATCTTCTGGTTGAAAACTTCAGACTTGTTCATGAATTTTTCTTATGATGATTTAAGGAGAAATTAGGCAGTAGTGGCATCCACAGACTCCACGAAGAATAGACTACAAGCAGAAAGGAAACCCCCTCCAGAAAGAATGGTTAAACTGAACTTGATAGAAGCAGTCAAGGTAATCCAGGGCCCTTTGGTATAGGAGGAATCCTGAGAGATAAAGGACAGCAACATCCTATCTTTGTTCTCAGGACAAGTGAGAGTTGGAGACTCTACAAGGGCTGAGATATTAGCAGTGGTGCAAGGTATACAGGTTGCTAACCAACTTGGAGTTGAGAACTTGATAGTTGAGGGRGACTCCAAGGTGATAGTGGGATGGCTGTCAATTCCAAAAATAGTCTTTTGGGGTTACAGGGATCTTTAGAAAAAAGTTAATTGGCTGACAAGGAATATGGCAATTAGTTTTTAGTGGGTCTGCAGAACGGCAAATGCTATGGCTGATTCATTGGCTAAACAAGGGGTGATCTTTTTTGGGCTACCTTATAATTGTAATTTCAGGCTAGAGTGTGCTTTATTCTCAGTGCTCAGCTCTAAGGGGAGGTAACATCTCGTGTCTCCTCTTAGGCTGATTGTACACTTCTTCTATGCTTAATAAAAGACCAATCATCATTTATAAAAAAAAAAATTACAAATGTGGTTTCAGTCAAAATATTAGTTTCAGGTTTCAGATGAAATTTAGTAAGCTCGAAATGTAAATTCTTAGGTTTAATTGATATCGTCATTACCCGATGTTTGTCCCAGCTATCTGGGGTCTTGGGTGTGGTATCACCCTAGCTATTGGCATTTTTATGATATTGTCATTCACCCAAAATATTGTCAAATGGAATACTTCGACAGAATTATTGCCAACATTTTTATCAAGGTTATTTAATTCTAGAAACTTCTTTGGTTGATAGTAGGAGATCTTTTCTTATGGAAATCTTCTGGGAAATATTAGCTAATTGCTGGAAACCGCCTACCTTGCTTCAAGTATGGTAACTGGATCAGATGATATTGAACTTGTTGCCTTTTAGTAGGCAGTAAGGTAAGCTTAAGAAAATAGGAATTGGGATGGGCAAAGCTTCAGTTGGATGATGACTTTCAAGCAAAGAATGAAGGTTTTTCCAGAAACAATTGAAGAATTGTTGATACTAATTTAAAATTGGACAACTTTCTTTGAAATGTTCCAGCGCTTTTCTGCTCTTCAGAACAGAGAAGCAAATGAAGGATTTATTTGAAACATAACCTAACTCTGGGTCTCCGAGCGTTCTCATCATACCCTTGCCACTTCTTTGCTGAGGCGAAGGCCATATGTTGGTCAGAAGAAGCTTTAGGCTGTGTTTCGTTGCAGTGCAATTTTATTTGCACTAGTACAAATGCATGGGAGTGCAAATGTAAAAAAATGCAAATTCTTGTTTAATTTTGTTTTGGATTTTACTTTATTCTGCTTCATGTCTTAATTTACTTTATTTGTACTGTAATCAAATAAAATAAGTTAACACTTGAAACAAAAATAGGCCAGAATTTATACTCAAATCATTTGCACTGCCATGGTTTTGCATCAGTGCAAATTTATTTGCATTGCAGCCAAACACAACCTTAAGAAATGGAAATTTCCATGTAAGTGGTAAGCAGTGGTACTATTCTCTAGAAGCACTGCAATTTCTGATTTTCACATTTCTCCGCATCTGCCATATATATATGAGCTATGAGCATTGACACCTTGAATGTTCATACATATTTTTTTCACCATAATACATGCAATTAAGTGTAGCTGTTGAAGTATCAAAATCCATTTTCTAGTACTATTTTACTAAGAGGCTAAAAATAAGTTTCACCATTAATGTTGCGACAAAGAATGTCTCTGTGCATGTGGTTAGCTGGTAACTATTTACAACAATATTTGCAGGGTGTTCCATATCCAGGCTTAGAAAAGCGCAATAAGCCCAAGCGAGTGGAGCTTTATTTCTCAAGTTGGATAATCAAGGCAGGTAAACATTATTACTCAGCGTTTGATGTTTGCCACAACCCACAATATATTAGACTCTAAAGATGCTTCATGAATCATGATTGGTTTCCTTCTTGAGTTAAAAATGCAGTGGAATCTCGTAAGGGAGATGGACAGTTATCTGCATGTGAGGTGATACTAGTACATTACGAAGACATGGGAATCCCCAAGGACGTCGCAAAACTGGGTGTCCGCCATGGGATGCGAGGAGCTGTCAAGAAATTACACTCCGGCATGAGATCATACCAGCTTGCCAGGAAATCTGGGGCACCGCTGTCTAGATGTGCCCAGATGGCACAGATCACCACCAAGATTCCTGTTGATGACAGCACTGATTCTGTTGAGTCATTATCTGTTGAACAAGAAAAGGATCAAACGATGGATTTTCAGCGCAAGGTGGATCTTGGTTTTGACTGGAAATGGGTGCTTATAGGTGGTAGTGTGGCTTTGCTATGTGGACTCCGGACAGGTGTGATCGGGAAAGCCTTGTTATTTGGAGCAGCTCGGAAGCTTGCACGGAAGTGAGTCCCCCTTGTAGCTCTCTATTGACTGCTGTGCGCGACATTGGATGCTGCCATTCTTCATCTTGATGAGTGACCAACTGGTTGGGTTATGCAAAAATGAATCGAATTCTTGTGATGTTATGGTAAGCGTTTTGGGTGTTTGAAGGGTCCAGATAGGTTCACCTGTCGAAGACTCGATGTTGGTACGCAGCAAGCAAATAGGAAGAAGGACAAGTATACCAAGTTGTCTTGATTCGGCATGTAGTACAAGATTAATAAGAAAGGGGATGGTCTCCATTAATTTACTTTTAATTTTAAAATAGGAAAAAAAAATCTCCTTTTTCTTACTTACTCGTGTAGTCAACGATCGAATTCCGAAGTATCAACACAATACCACCTATTTAGGTCCCTTTTGGGATGAGATGACGCCAAATCATAGGGTAGTTTTCTAGGTACCATAATTATATTTTTTTAATAATTATTTGTATTTTTATAAGAAAAGTATAAATTTTATATTAAAGTATAAACAATCAACATATTTATAAAAAGAAAAGGAAGAAGGAACATAAAATTCAAAAAATATAGGGGCTGAATCTTTATTTTTGTTATAGGAAAAGAAGAAAATAAAATGTATTAGTAGAAGAAGAAGAAGAAGAATATATGGAAAAGGAAAAAGTGCTGATTAGATAAAATTTTAAATTCTTCCTTACTTATTGGTTTAGGTTTTTAAGTCTTTGAGGGTTAGATACAGCATTTAGCAATGCTTGTGTTGATTAAACCCTAATAAATAAGAAAATAATAAAAAGAAATTAGTATATAAACACATAAAATGATTATTTTAGTTTAATAATGTCTATTTTATAATTATAATCTCAAAAAAGAACGAATAAAAATGTATTTTATAGTAGGAAGTAGAAAACTGTTTGGCGATTAGACGAGGTGAGCCTCAAAGAGCGCCTTGTTGCCCAGGCACCTGCCTAGGCGTCACTTAACAACTATATATAGCTCTTACGGGGACAAAGATGAATAATCAATACCAAAAAAAAGACTGACAGGTGTTTTTTTTTTATTTTTTTGTATCATTGAGACCAAGCTCTGCCTTGCCATTGACCGTTCAAACTGTCAATTGGTGTTTTTTTGGATGCATTGTATGTCCATTGAGTTTGTGCTTTTGAAATTGGGAAAAAAATGTTGCAGGCATGAAATGCGATGCAACATTATTTATTTTATTATATATCAGTTCCACCTAGACGAAATTGAAATACAACAATGGAAATACCATTCTCTAAAGTTGAGTTTCATATAACCAAGACAAGAAAAAGTATAAAACAGTTGATGAATGTACCATACAAGATGCAAGTATAATCACTTATGTGGTGCTGATGTATCATTGAAATAGAATCACAATAGATACACGACACCATGATGCCAAACACCCACTTGGTCAAAACCTATCTTATCAAAATTTATGAAGGCTATATCTTCATGTTTGATTGTTCAGAGTGATATTTTTTTTTTATTTTGGGTTTTTTTTGTTGTCTATGTATATTTTTGTCAAAAAGAGTTAAAAATAAAAATTGAAAATATAATTGTGCATTTTTATTTTGGACTCAAATCCCATTTTTAGCTTTTTATTTATAAATTAGAATTTAATTTTATATCATTGTAATTTAAATTTTCGATTGTTTTGGGACAAAGATCCCCCCCCTCCCCGGGGAACTTCTAGATTCCAACATTTTAGCCACCCTGATTTGGATATTATGTCAATTAATTTGGTTAAAAATTCATAAAATTTGGCAACATTTTGTCCTAAGTTTTTTCTAAAATCCTAATTTTCAAGGGGCATTCTTTGGAAAGTTTATTTTTCTGTACCCATCTCCTTTGTGGATAAACAATTTTCCCACATGGGAGTTGCCAATACTTGAATGGGACAAAAATACCCCTTTAAATAATAGATTTTTATGACTAAAATGATCATTGCCTTATTTACTTGGAAAAAAAATAGGTAAATGTAATTACTTAGATATTCCCAAAAAAAACTTACCCAAATAAATTTACCCGAGTAAACTTGTTGAAAAGCGTTTGACCTTCAGTATTACATACTTATGTCAATTTCTTTCAACCAAGTTCACATTGAAACTAACGGTGGCTTAATTGGTAAAGCCACTTTACTTACTGGTAGGGGTGGATTCGAGTTGAGCCGAGCCAAACCGAATAGTACCAAGTTCGAGCTTGGCTCGAGCTCGGCTCGGCTCATTTTATATTTTATAAAAATAAAAATTATATATACATTTTTTTTATATTTAAAAAATTAAGAATTATAATATTTTTATTTTAAATATATAAATATATATATTCGAGTTGGCTCACGAGCCGAGCTCTAGTAGGCTCGAATTCAGCTTGTTTAATAATCGAGCCATTGAATTGAGCTCGAACTCGAACTCAAACTCGACTAAAACCGAGCCGAACTGAGCTTTTCACTAGCTGAATTCAAGCAGCTCGTGAAAAGCTCAGCTCGTTGCCACCCTTACTTACTGGTAATAGAGACTAAATGAAATTCAATTGCCACTTGCCACTTGCCACTAGTGTAGTGTTGGGGGTATGTGAAGGAGCCATCACAATATGGTGTATCACTTGCTACTAACCAATCATGTGTGCCGTTGTACTGTGCGTGAATAGAAGATCCAAGTCATTGTGTGGCTAGAGCTGTAATGTGGGCAATGCTGGCCCACTTTTTTGGGCCACCTACAGTGTAGCAGGCCATGCCCTTCTGGGCTCGGGCTTATAGTGGGTTGGCGCGGATCTCTTTTTTTTTTTTTTAAGAAAAATTGAAAAAATAATAAAATATTAACAAAGTAACAAGATAGACAAACAGCTTGAAAACAAATCTTAAAATTTATTCCATATAATTTCTCATACATGAAATTGAAAAATGTTACAATGAAACAAAATTGAAAATAAGGTTTTTAAAACTGGACCAAACAAGGAATCATTATGGGGTGCGGTTCCCGGATTGAATGGTCCAACTGTCAAGTCCAGATGGTCGGCCTTCTCTAACAAAAAATAAAAAATAAAAAAAACCAAAAAAATGGCCAAAAATCATTCTTGGGTTGAACGGTTTGACAGTTCGATTGCCTGTGTCAGCGGTTCACTGAACAAATCAACGGTTTTTATCCAAATAACGGTTTTGGAATAAAACAAAACCAATCAGATGACCAATTCCCAGTTTTTCAGTCCAGTTTTCAAACAGAACCGGTCAGGTGACCAAATCAACGGTTTTCACTTTTTATGGTCAACGACTTCGTCTTAAAACAAGGTTCGGAGYGGACTACATTGGTGTTGTTCAGTCCTCAACTGCTTATTCATTCCTCAACAGCAGTTATTGCACAATACGAGCTCACATCGTCTACATCAACGTTGTAGAAAATTTTCTGCAACCGCGAATGAAAAAGGGCCACATCACTCTTCCTTATTTAATCACAATTTCACGGGAGCCCAGACCATTAACTAGGGGTGATCATTTCAGCCTGGCCCGCACAAGCCCAGCCTGGAAATTCCGGGCTTGAGCCTTGGTTTTGTGTTTAAGTTCGGCTCAGGCCTGCAAAATTTAGGGCCAGGCTTGGGCTTAATACTTCAAGCCCGGCCCGATTCGCATATATTTAAACTTACACATTTTGTCTATAATGTATATATGTTATTTTACATTTTATTATATATTTTATATATAAATATTATAACATGACATGTATAATTTATATTATATAATGTATAAAATAAGTTTATATTCATGTTATGTCATTTAATATATAGATATGTAATGTTTTATATATGAGTGACATTGGCCTAGAATTAGGCCTGGCCCTGCCCATGATCACCCCTACCGTTAACCGGAGTCTGTATTCCAAAAAATTAAAATTATTTTTAGGAAAAATTCCTAATCAATATCTTGTACTTTGGTTCGAGTGACAATTTGGTCCCTGAACTTTAAAATTCAACAATCCAGTACCTGAACTTTTGAAACACGACAATCTAGTACCTGTCCATGTGACCTCATGCAATTTAAGACTTTTGAAACTGTCAGAATTACCCTTGAAAATAAAACACATTATTCATCATCTTCTTCCTCAAGAAGGTGAAACAAAGTCCAAGCTCTCTGTCACAAACACTTGCAACGATTTTGCCTTTTTCGCAAAGTCGTTGCCAAGAACAAAAATTTCAGGTTTTATACAACTTATTTTTATTTCTTTAACTTAACACAGTAATATTTTATTCCTATAGGTAAAAGAGAGGAGAAGAAATGAAAGCTTTATCTTGATACTTGAGAGAGAGAGATCAGTGATGGTGGCTGAAGACTTTTTTGTTTTTCTGTTTTTTGGATAAGATAATTACAGTAGTTAAAGGAAAACATTTCTCCTAGAAATTGCTTTGGTTTTGGTCTGAAGATGATGGAATATTCAGAAGAGAAGAAAGACAAAAGTATTGTCGTAGGGATGAAAAATTTGACTTGATTCTGATTTTAGTGGATGATTGATAAAGAAAATTAGATAACACTTGAAGGGCATTTGTGTATTTTTACATGCCATTTAACGGCTGATTTTGTCACTTGAGCCAAATTACAGGGTACTTGGTCAGGAATTTTCCCTTATTTTTATCCAGCCTTGCCTCCCTGCTTCTCTTAGAATAGTTCTCTTTCCCTTCGTTCTGCTTCAACCCAATATTTCGTTCTCTTTTTCTAATGATATGTATATTTTCAACCACCGTGTTGAATGCCTTGTACAGAAGAGGAACGATGAGTTCAGGGAACTCTAGAAAGTTGTTAGAGAATTGGACCCTTAATGGGGAACGAGGAACTTGGGAAAAAGTTTAATTGACTCCTTAAGTAATAAATAAATCGGTGACAATTAATAAAGAGGGCCTTTGTACCAAACTGCAGGTCATGTAAAAGATAGGAGGATGGTCTTTCTATTTTTTTTTGGCCGACTTAGAATTTCTTTTATGAAACCAGAAGATACGGAGGTGGGTGAGAGATGGTGAAGAAAGACGAACTCGGAGGGACAGTTAAGGTGAATGTCGTAAAACTGAAGAGAGAACATTGAGGCATCATTGGTGATAGTACCATTTTGGTTTTTGGGTGGTGACAATGGTGGTTGAAGGAGAAGGAAGGAGGGTGGAGAGAAGCATGGGAGAGAAAATAAAGGGAAAATTTTTAATTATTATTTTGTATTTTGGGTCTCTTTGGTCCTTAAACTTTAAAATGCGATAATTCAGTACTTGAATTTTTAAAATGTGTCAATTTAGTATCTACTATTAATCAACTGTTAATCAACCATTAAGTGATATTTAAAAAGGCATAAATGCCTAGGGATGGCAATTTTCCCCGTCCTCGGCGGGTACTCGGGCTCCCCAACCCGATGGGGTTGGGTATGGGGAGTGCTTTGGTGGGGTCAAGGTTGGGGTCGAAGTCGGGGTCAGGGATGGGGCTAAAGCTGAATCCCCGATTGGGTTTGGGGACGGGGATAGGAAATGCAATCCCCGCCCCGCCCGGCCCCAATTAATATATATATATATATATATTATAATATTTATATATTATTTTGTATAATATTTATATTATAATTACACAAATAACAAAAACTAAAAAAGAGTAAAAGACAAAAACTTAAAACTCTTAACTATCGAGAGTCTCTTGACTCTCTTCTACTACTAGACACTCAAAAGACAGAGAAGAAAGAATATAGGGCAGCGCCTGAAACTCAAAACCTTACCCTTTTTCAGTTCTTCTTCTTCCGTTCTTCGTCTATCCTATTGTCTTCACTATTAGTAGTCGCTGTTGGTGCTGGTGCTCTCTCTCTCTCAGGTGAGACACGCCGCAAGCCCACAACAATCCTCTCTTTCTCTTTCTCTCAACTCAGTGCTCACAAGTTGCAGATCTGGGACTTTGCAACTCGTGTTAATCAATGTGAATCTCAGTCGTGGCCATCACTAATCAATGTGAATCAATTTGAAACTTTGCAACTCGTGGCCATCACTTAATCAATGTGAATCTCAGTTGCAGATCTGAGATGGAGGAGCTTTCCTTTCTCTGATGGGAAAGTCAAAAGCAATTGGGGGTCCGGGTCTCCGACAGGGAACTCATCCCCGATGGGGGTCGGGGATGGAAGAGCATTTCTTTCCTGACGGGGATGGGGGATGATTTGGAAATCAGGGTCGGGATGGGGAATGTAATCCCTTCATTGAATCCCCCCGTTGCCATTCCTACAAATGCCCTTTGAGTTCATATAATTTTCTTATCAGCCATTCAAACGTTAACAAAAAATGAAATGTCTCAAATCTTTGCCTCTTATATTTAAGAAAGTTGGGATTACTACAATACTCACTAAGACGTGACCTCAACTTTCTTAAATAAAAGATAAAAGGATTTGGGACTGTTCATTTTGTGTCAATATTTGGATGTTAATAAAAAAATTAGATGACAATCTAAGAACATTTATGTATTTTTAAATGTCATTTAACATTTGATTTATAAGCGGTTAACTTTTAGATACTAAATTGTCATGAAAGTTCCTATACTGAATTGTCCCAATTAAAGTTCTAAGACTAAAAGTGACATTAGCCAAAAGTACAAGGTATAAATCAGAAATTTTTCCAAAAATAAAAAAGGGAAGAGAGAGAATCTCGAGAGAAAAGAGATTGAGAAATGTTGGCGGTCCTCAGACTGCCGCCGATTTTGCTCTGACTGAAGCCGATCTCGTATCTGGGTTGAAAGAGAACGGAGGAGGGGGAGAGAGAGTGAAGTGGGGGGAGAAAGGCAGGATTAAAAGAATTTTAATTTTTTTTAGAGTCTAGACTCCCGTTAGCGGTCCTGGCTCCGTTAAGTTATGATTAGCGATCCTGGCCTTTTCTTATTGGACATTGCAGAAAATTTTCTCCAACGTTGATGCAGAGGATGTGAGCTCGCACGATACATCCCTACGGTGAAGTGAATCAGTTTTCAAGTGTTTAACTCCGCGACCCAGGCACGACATTGCGCTACTTCCGTTCCAAATGGTGTTGAGAGTTTCAGCTTCTGCTGCTGCATCATCCTCTTTGAGATGTGCTGCGAGAGGTAAACTTTCATCTTTGTTCATAAACCCACCTGTTATTTCTGATTCTGCCTCCGAAGCTACAACAGAATACTCCTCCCATAATTTAGATCAAACAGAAATCGAAAATTTCAAGGAGAAGTGCAAATCAGGAAATATCCATCTAAATTATGCAGTTGGGTTCTTTAATCAAATGCTTCTCGTGCAACCCCCGCCTCCCATTAGCATATTCAATCTTGTCTTAGGTGCAACTGCCAAGATCAAACACTACTTAGCTGCTGTTTCTCTCTACAGAAAATTGAATCCAATCGGTATCTCTCCCGATTTCATTACGCTAAACATTCTATTAAATTGTTATTGTAACTCTAGTCATGTTCCATTCGGTTTAGCAGTTTTCGGGGAAATTCTGAAACGGGGTTACGGCCCCAACACTTTCACTTTCACTTCTCTGATTAAGGGGATGTGCACGGAGAATCGGATCAATGAAGCTGCCCAGGTCTTCCAAAAAATGATTGAGCAGGGCTGCATGCCCACCGTAATCACATATGGGACTCTGATTAATGGATTTTGTAGGTCAGGAAACACAGCCCTAGCACTGAATTTGCACAGAGAAATGGTGAATGGAACTGTTGGTGGTGGTAGGTTTAAGCCTAACGTAGTTACGTACAGTATGGTTATTGATGGCCTTTGTAAAGATGGTTCCATAGATGAGGCTAAGGAACTCTTTGCGGAGATGATGGGTAGGAGGATTTCTCCTGATGTGGTTGTTTACAGCTCTCTAATTCATGGTTTGTGCAATGTAGGCAATTGGAAAGAGGCCATAGGGCTTTTCAATGAAATGGTGGACCGAGGGATTCCACCTACTGTAGTAACTTTCAATATGTTGATGGATGCACTTTGCAAGGAAGGAAAGACGACAGAAGCAAATAAATTGCTTCAATTGATGATTCAGAGAGGGGAAGAGCCTGACACGATCACCTATAACACATTAATGGATGGGTTATGTTATGAAGGTCGGATTGATGATGCAGTGGAGCTATTCAAGTCTATGAAATGTAGGGGGCACGAACATGATGTTGTCAGCTATAATGTGTTGATTAATGGGTATTGCAAGAGTGGAAGATCAGATGAAGCTATCAGGCTTTATGGTGAAATGCTTCATAAGGAGGTCAGACCGACAATGATTACCTATAACACCTTATTATCTGGTCTTTGTCAGCAAGGAAAAGTTGACGATGCACGGAAGCTGTTTGATGACATGCAGGCTCATGACCAGAAGCCCAACTTGTTGTCATATACTATTTTATTGGATGGTCTTTTCAGGAAAAACTGTGTTTTGGAGGCAATAGAACTGTTTAAAACTCTTGAGTGTAGTGCATTTGAACCAAGTATTAAGATATACAACTGCCTAATACATGGAGTGTGCAAAGCAGGAATGCTTGAAGCTGCTGAGGAACTATTTAATAAACTGTCTAGCAGGGGCTTGATGGCCAATGTTGTGACCTATTCCATCATTATTAATGCACTCTGTAAAGGTGGGCAGTTGGAGAAGGCAAACAATTTATTCTTGGAAATGGAAGAAATGGGTTGTGCTCCAAATGTGGTAACTTTTAATACCCTCATGCGTGGTTTCTGCCATAATAGTGACGTTGAAAAAGTGATTGAGCTTCTTCATAAAATGGTAGAGAGAGATGTTTCCCCAGATGCATCAACAGCAACCTTAGTAGTAGAGTTGCTCACAAAGGAAGAAAAGTATCACAAATATTTGACTTCTCTTCCAACCTTTTTGCCAAGGGACCAACAGAAGGGTGATGTGATGAATGTCCATTCTCTAATCTTAGGTGCCAAGGAACCCTCTTAGCTTGGAGGAGAAATCTGTAGTATAGTTCAGGTTCTTGAGTAGAAGCTTGATACACAACTCCTTGATATGGAAATTGACATATTTGCTGCTGTATCAAGTGTTAATGAAGACTGCAAAATCATATACAACTTAAGTTGATTAAGACCTTCCAGAAAGACTTGTAGTGGACATGGGTTGATTAAGATCATAATATATGGATTTGAGAAACTAAGACATCATGATGGCAATTAGCTACCTTATCAACATTTGATCCAAAATGGACAACAACCATGACGAAAACTGACAAAGGTATGTTGTATGATGTGCATGAATGAAAACCCTAAGATCAAACATTGCCTAACGATTCAAAATGATTCTGCATCTTGATTCTGAAAGGAGCTTTTAAGTAAACATACACTTGGAATTTGAAATTGAATCAGCAATTTGTTGACCTGGAAGCTAAAACTTGGTTTAAAGATACCAAAGTAGAGCTGTAGAAGTTGTTGTGCAAAAGATCCATATTTAATTTGACACCATTAGTCTAGTGGTGTTAATTAAAGATGGATCAGGATAACAACAGTAGTCATGGAGAGTAGAATTACAGACAGGAATTTTTTTTTTTGATCAATAACACCAACTTCATTAAATTAAAAGAAGAGAGGGAATAAGGATACAAAGGGGGAGATAAAATAACTTAGCTCCCCAAAAACAGAAAACAAAGGGAAAGCAAAGAAAAATATTAAAAACTAGCCCAAAAAACAGACTCCCTATTCACTCCTTGCTTGGCCAACCCATCCGCAAATGAGTTGGCACTCCTCTTCACCCAGCTGTACTGAATCTCAATGTCCCTACCCAGCCATAAGAACTGTTTTTTTTTTTCATTGTTAAAGTTCCGTGAGCCACTGTCCTCTGTCTCCAACCAACTAACCACCACCTTCGAATCACCTTCCAGAATCAAACGATTGATATTTAATTCCTTTGCTCTTCGAATTCCTTCAAGCGTTGCAAGGATCTCAGCCCTAAGAGAGTCACCTTTTCCAATAGGGCCAAAGAATAAAGAAGTAACAATCCCTTCCTCATTCTTGAAGACTCCTCCAATCCCGGAGGGCCCTGGATTCTTTACACTGCTGCCATCAAAATTCAGCTTTATAAAGCCCGAGGGGGGAGGGGACCAAAGCGGACAAAGAGTCTTCTTGCATCTAGCAATGGAAGCAATCTCTTTCCAGTTTCTTAGCAAGTCATCCATAGGAAAATCTGAAAACAACTCCAAAGATTTTAGCCAGTGGACAGCTCTTAAAAGGATTCGATCTAACAATTCTTCCAATGTTCTTTCCTTGTCAGAAAAAATGCGTGAGTTTCTTTCTTCCCACAAAGACCAGCACACCACTGCCCTAATACACCTTGGACAGTCTCCGGGGGATACCAATAACACCCAAAACGGGAGAAAACCCACTCCCAAACAGTTTTAGCAGCCTTACAAGAGACCATGAGGTGGTAGCCAGATTCCCCATCAGCTTTACAAAGAGCACATCTATTAGGAAGTAGACAATGGTTAGGTCTCTTTCTCTGAAGTAAGTCTAAAGTGTTGATTCTAGGTCCCTTGCTTATTTGTATAGACTAATTGCAATATCACTCAGTCAAGTTGACTTGAGTGAGTTTAAGGCTAACAGAAGTGCCTCTAGGTCCCTTGCTTATTTACTTAGTTATCAATGATAAAGCGAATAGGCATATGGCCATGTAAACTGGAATTTTTTTGACTATATGCTGAAGATGTTTAATTTCGGGAGAAAATGGAGAAATTTGATAAAAGTGTGCTTATCTTCTCCATCTTTCTCAGCCCTAGTGATGGTAGCTCTTGTGGAATGTTAGAAGTTATAGAGGTCTGAGGCAAGGGGACCCTCTTTCCCCCCTTCTGTTCATTTGTGTGACAGAAGCCCTGTACAGGATGGTAGAAAGAGCATGATTGGGAGGAATGCTGGAAGGTTTTAAAGTAGGCAGTGGGAAGGTGGAGATAGCTCTTCTTCAATTTGCAGATGACACATTATTTTTCTGTGACACCTCTTGGGAACAAATCTGGAATGTGAAGGCAACATTAAGATGGTTTGAGGTGGTATCAGGCTTGCGTGTCAACATCTTGAAGAGTGAATTAATGGCTGTGGGGGTGTTATACATGGAAGAATGGGCAGATGATTGGGGATGTAAAGTCAGAAAACTTCCTTCTAGATACTTGGGCATGCCTCTGGGAGAAAGTTGTAAATCCAAATCTATTTGGGAACCTATCTTGGAGAGGGTAGACAAGAAATTAGCCTCTTGGAACACAAAATATTTATCCAAGGGCAGCAAAGTAACCTTAATTAAAAGTGTGCTGGCCTCCCTCCCAGTTTTCTACTTATCCTTATTCCCTATTCCGGCTAAATGGGCTGCTGTGCTAGAAAAAAAGATGAGGAGGTTTTTGTGGAGGGGTTGGAGGGAGGAATCAAAATGCCACTTGGTGAATTGGAAGAAAATATGGTGTTCCAAGACAAATAGGGGCCTAGGGATCAGATCAGTAAGAGAGGTAAACACAGCTCTTCTTGGTAAATGGCTATGGAGGTTTAATGAACAGACAGAAAGTCTATAAAGAAGGCTGATAGTAGCCAAATATGGTCCAAGTAGCAGGGATTGGGAAACAGAGGGGATAAGCTCTCCCTATGGATGGATGCTCAATCTGGAAGGCCATACAAAAAATCCAGTCCCAGTTTAATAGGGGAATAAAATACAAAGTGGGAAATGGTAGGAGGGTTTTCTTTTGGAAGGATAACTGGTGTGAAGAGGGCCCCTTAAAGAATGCTTTTCCGGACCTGTTTGAAATTACCACAAACAAAAATGCAACTGTTGCTGAATGTTTGGAAAGGCAGAATGGTCAGTTCTCTTGGAACCCTCAGTTCAGGAGAAATTTAAATGATTGGGAGGTGGCATCCCTAATCAGATTGCTCCAGCTTCTGCATGAGTTGAATATATCTGGAATAGGGGAAGACAAAAGCGTGTGGAGCTTTGAGAAATCAGGTGTGTTCTCTGTAAACTCGTTTTTTAAAGCAGTTTCAAAGGAAGAAGCTATCTCTTTCCCAAGTCAAAGAATATGGATTAGAACTGTGCCTTCAAAGATAGCCTTTTTGTTTGGTTGCAGTGCTGGATAAGATTCTAACCAAAGACAATTTAGTCAAAAGAGGGTTAGAAGTGGTAGACATGGCATATCCCCTATGTATTGGGAATGTGGAATCATCTAGTCATCTTCTGTTACACTGCAATTTTACTCACTGGATGTAATTAAGAGTGGTGGAATTATTTGGTGCAAAGCTATGTTTCTCGGCAGATGTTAGGGGACTCATAGAGGTTGGTGGCTGAGTGGTCTGAGTAAAGCTGGAAAAGGTGGCTTGGAGCATTATTCCCGCAGCTGTTCTGTGGGCTGTGTGGAGTGAAAGAAATAACAGATTATTTGAAGGAATTCAAAACTCCAAAGATGTTCAGAGGAAAATTATGGGGATGATTCACTCATGGCTGACTGTACATCCGTTGTTTAAAGGCAGACATCGAAGTGCTTTTTTTGAGTTTATTTTTTTGTTTGTAAGGAGTGAGTAGTTTCTTTTTTTTTTTTTTTGGGGGGGGGGGATTGAGGCTGTATGGGGCTGTTTTGGTTTTTTGTATATCCTCTGTTCATTCCTCTTTGTACAGGGGTTTCTTTAGTTGATTTTTCATGAAATCACTTTACTTTACAGTTTTCAAAAAAAAAAAAAAAGATTTATTGATATCTTAGTTCTTTGCTAGTTTATGTGTTAATAGGGCTGTTAATGGGTTTAATCAACCTGATGAATTGACAAACGCTTTGAACTAGGTGCATGAGTTACACATTCATAATTTCATAGTGTATTAATTCCATTTATGTTTAAATTTCAGATTCACCCTGTCAAAAAGGGAAATTTGGAGAAAACCCATTTATTTGTCACCTTATGTATATTTCTTTAAGTAAAGGTTAACATTGCAATATAACATATGGCATAAAGGTTAACTATGTAACACATTTTTGATCCATGTAACACTTCAATGAAACACAGAACATGTTTCTCTTTAGCTTTTCAGTTTTACCTCTGGAAATGATATCTACAGCTCTACCACAAGGTCAGTTTCAGCATGTGCAGAAGTGATCACTCCCTCTATTGGATTTTTTTTTTTTGAAAGGTGAAGTAATAACTTTGTTGAATCAGAAAARAACTCAGTACAACAAAAGAGCAAGCCACAAGTAGCTTCTCAGATTTCAGGACAAGTTACAGATCCCAAATCGAATTAGACTTACTAATACAGGAACATTTAGCTCTTTAAAATCAGGTGTAACAGCCACCCAAGAAATCAGCTTGCTGACCGCCTGTATCTCCTCTGTGCTCTTAGCTTTGTTGCTGAAGATTCTTCTATTCCTTTCAGACCAAACTACCGACATCACTGCTGCAGGAATAGTTCTCCAAATTAAACAACCTTTTTTCTTCAAACCTTGGAGATTCCAGCAAAGTAGCAGATCTTTAACTGACTTTGGCATAACCCAATTAAGACCAGCCGCTCCAATGAAATGGTACCAGACTTTTGAGGAGATAGGACAATGTAAGCACAGATGGTCAGTGGACTCAGGCAACAAGGCACACAACCCACACATCAGAGAAGGGAGCTGAATGCCCCTTCTGTCCAGGTTGAGTCTTGAGAGACATTTATTCAGCACGATAGTCCAAACAAGGAATACAGACTTCGAGGGAGCACAGGACTTCCATACTTGCTGGTAGGGGAACTCAGTAATACCCGTACTACTAAGCTTCAAGGTAAGGGATTTGACTGAGAAGTAGCCATCCTTACTCCAGGACTAACTCCATTCATCTTCACCTGCAATGTCTATCGTCTGCTCCTGTAAAATCTGCAGAAGTTGCATTACACCTTCTATTTCCCAATCAAATAAATCTCTTCTGAACTGAGGGTTCCAGATCACTGAGTTGTTAGAAATCACATAAGACTCTGCCACTGATATTTCTTGATTAACTACACATTGGAACAAAAGGGGAAATGCCTCAGCTAAAGGTCTGTCCATGCACCAGGGATCTTTCCAGAATTTCAGCCTATTTCCACTTCCCACTTATAGTCTCACTCCCTCATACATCACAGGAAAAGATTTTGGAATCCCTTTCCAAACCGAACAACCCCATGTTGTGTATGGATCCTGAGATTTCCAATTACCCCAATCCACACCAAATTTTGTTGCAATTAAGGTCCTCCACCAAGAAGATCTTTCTTCTGCAAATCTCCAACACCATTTACTCAATAAAGCCGAATTAACCTCTGCCTTAGGAAGACAAACTTGATYCCAATTCACAAGGTGCATCTTCTTGTCTTCTTCCCACCCTCTCCAGAGAAATTTTCTCTGCATCTTCTCAAGCTTCTTTGCAATTTTGGATGGCATAGGAGACATGGACATGAAGTAGGTAGGGAGGTTGGCAATTTTGCCTCCGATAAACAGATATTTTGCCTTCCAGGATGCCAATTTTTTCCCCACTCTCTCAATTACTGGATCCCATAAAGCAGAAGAATAATTGGCACCTAGTGGGAGGCCAAGGTACTTACCTGGCAAGTAATCCACTTGGCAGGCCATCAATCTAGCAAAGAATCCAGATTAGGAACAAGGCCCACTGGGATTATCTTACTTTTATGAAGATTAACTTTTAGGCCTGAAACAACTTCGAACCAACAAAGAATACCAAGTAGAACATCCACCTGGTCAGAAGAGGCATCAAGGAAACAGAGAGTGTTGTCAGCAAACTACAATAGGTTAACATTTTCCGCTTCCGGAGCAATTGCAAAACCATCCCATAAGCCATTAGCTGCTGCCTTTAAAGAGAATTGGGTCAGGATTTCTGATATACAGATAAAGAGCAGCGGAGATAGTGGGCCCCCCTGTCTAAGACCCCTCGTACTATCAAAAAACCCTACTGACTGGCCATTAATCAGCACCGAGAATTTGGGAGAAGAAACACAAACTTTTATCCAATTTCTCCATTTCTGACCAAAATTCATTCTCTCCAGAACCTGATCCAGACACCTCCAATTTACATGGTCATATGCTTTTTCTATATCCAGCTTTACAACCAGTCCCGGGGAACCCTCCCTTAATCTTGAGTCAATAAGCTCATTGGCAATCAAGACAGAATCCAGCATTTGTCTCCCCGGTACAAAAGCAAACTGATTATTAGAAATAACACTGCTTAGCACCTGCTTCATTCTCACTGCTAACACCTTTCCGAGAATCTTGTAGAAGCTATTTAGAAGGCTGATGGGCCTAAAGTCCCTGATATTTGTGGCCCCTTCCACTTTAGGGATTAAGGAGATAAAGGTAGCATTAAGACTTCTGTGTAAAGAAGCATTTCTGTGTAAGTCTTGGAACACCTTTAACAGATCAGACTTAATGAAATCCTAACATTTAATGTAAAACAAATTAGACAAACCATCCGGCCCAGGAAATTTGTCCCCTTCTAGATTCCAGATTGCTGATTTGATTTCTTCTTCTGAAAAAGGTCTCTTAAGGAACATCTTCTGCTCTGAACTCAGCTTCTTGAAGGGTAAATCTAGAGGAAAAGGTCTCTTGTCCCATTTATCTTTATATAGATTTTTGTAGAAAGCTGTAGCTACTAACTTGATTTCAGCTACTGAATCCCCTACTTTATCCTTCCATTCCAGCTTTCTGATTGAAGACACTCTCATACGGGCATTAGCCATTTTGTGAAAGAAATGGGAATTTCTATCACCTAGCCTTAGCCAGGTTATCTTAACTCTCTGTCTCCATTTAGTCTCTTCTTTCACTATCACCTTATCAAATTTAGTTTTGGCCTGAATTCTCCTCAATCTCAACTCTTCCGATATTGGACCTCCCTCTTCTTCCTTATCAATTTCTGAAATTATTTTCAAGTAATTATTTTTCTCCGCTTCAAAATCTGCACCTTTTTCTGCCTTCCAGTTCTTGACCCTTTCCTTAATTGCTCCCAACTTCTTCACAAGGACAAATGAGCTAGTACCCTCCACCCGGAAATCATTCCACACTGATTTCAGCAGAGATAAAAAACCAACTTCTTCAAACCAAGAGTTCTCAAATTTGAAAGGAGTCTTTACCTTTTCCCTATTCCCGCAAACAAGCTGAATTGGAGTGTGATCTGAAACTGGTCTAGGGAGGGCCAGCTGTTTAAAATCTGGGTAAATTTCCTCCCAATTTGAAGAAACAAGAAATCTGTCAAAACAATGGACCAGATATAGTTAAGTAACTTGTTGGCATTTAAACAGTATAGGCAGAAATCTTACTCTATTTTCTACTTCTTTGTCATTTTCCCCTTGTTGGGACTTGGGACTGGTTAGTGAGCAAGGAGCATATAAAGGCCCATTAGCAGAGAACCTTGAAACTCTTTATATGCTTACAACTCCACAATTTCTATTTCTGTTAACTAGGGGGATGCAATGGAATTTTCTTGGTTCTTTAAGATCTATGCTGCACTCTGCATGTACTTCTCTATAAATTAATCCTATTTATTTATTACATACACTATAAACAATATACCACCTTACTTTTGGGTTTCATTTTTCTTAATGGAAATTTTAAACTCAAGCTTCAAGGATAAAGATGGAGAAGAAAAAAGGGGTAAAATACAGAGATCTACCTTGAACTTTTGGGGGTAGTGACACTTAGGTCCTCAAATTTCATTTGTGACAGACCTTGTACTTTCAGATTCCAAAACTTTGCTTCCACTGTTAGCATTCCATCAGTTTTGAACTTTTATGAGACCATTTTTCCCTCTCCTTTATTGCTTCCCTAAAAAATTCAAGTTTTGATTTTTTTTCCTATATTCTTTTTTTTTTCTTTTCATTTGTTTAAGAGAGAGATGAAAGAGAGTTGCAAGAGGAAAAGCACCCACCACAAAGTTCAGCACTTGGGTTTTGGAGATAAAGGAGGGGTAAATGGTCTCATAAAAGTTCAAAACTGACAAATGCTAGCACTAGGGGTGGAGTTTTGAAATCTGAAAGTACAGGGTATCTCTCTGTCGCAAATGAAAGTTCAGGGACCTAGGTGTCACTACCCCCAAAGCACAGGGTAGTTCTCTATATTCTACCAAAAAAAAGGTTAAAGATAGAGTAGGGTTCTGAAAATTTGCTTGATGAATAAGGGCAACGCCATTCATTGCATGTATTTGTAAATGAGAAATAACTTTCGGAATATGATTGAAGTCATGAGGTGGGGATAACTATAGTGTTTGGGTGCCTGCTTTGGTTCAACTTCCTTGGACATACAGTTAGGTTAGTGTTAACATGGTGAGGTAAACATATGTGATTAAGCACTATTTTAGATGTTATGCTGACATACAGTTGGTTCAACTTGTTTGACTAATATGTGATTAAGCACTATTTTAGATGTTATGCTGATTTTATAATTTTTATCTAGGAAAAGATTTTCTATTGCAGTAAATATTTCCAACCTAGATTCATCATGTGTTGATGTATAGCAGGTTTAATGAATTTGGAGTTGATGGTGGGTCTGCAGTAAAAAGACCTTAGTACAAAGTTTGATGTTTTGAAAAATCACATGACTTTTAATCTTGGGGTCCAAGTCCCAGATGTAGAGGTTAGAAAGTGTACCCCCTTTCTATTTTCAATCTTTCTGAGATTTGTTCTTCACTATATAACATGGAATCGTTTACAACTTGGAGATGTTCTGATTCGCAGATGAAACATTTGGTTGTCAGGGCTGTATTTTTAAGGGGTATTGAAGGCATTCTCTTAATCTCTGGAAACTCTTTTGGTGCAATCCCCTGGTATCTACACTTAAATCTCTAGTGTGAAAGTGTGATGCTTTGGTCTCTTGTGCCTTTAAAACCAATATATTGGCAATTGCTCTTTATAGAATCTTAGCTATTATTGCATTGCTGGAATCTGGGAATAGAAACAGCTTACCTATGCTCAGGAGGGAGGTCTAGGAATTTTTGGGACAAGGAAATCTCATGGAAGGATCATCAGCAGTGCATTGAGACTGAAGTACTTCAGGTCTTCTATTGTAGAAACATGTCTGCCTATGAAGCTGAGAAAATAGAATTGTAATCTTCTAGATTAAATTTTTCTGTGTTGCAAATATTAGAAAATATTTGTCAATAAAGAAGTCTTTCTGAAGTCACTTATTCACATTACTTGAAAAAAAAAGTTACTCCTGCCTTCACCAGGGGACTTGGGAATTAGGATTGCATCCTGCCTTCACCAGGGTTGGGAAGGGGCTACCCCCATTGTGTAGCACATTCTTTGCCTATTGTGCAGGTGGCCTATTTCTGTAATCAAGCCTATTTTTTTTAATAGTTACTCCATTGGGAAATTAAGTCCTTCACGAGAATTGTGGCTGGAATTTGTTCAATGATGATGGAATGGTTACTGGTGCATGCTGAGTTTAAGGACTACACTGAAAGGTGTCATGAATTTCAGCCACTATGGTGAAAAATAAATTATTCCAATTTTATCTTCATGAGAAAATTATGGTGATAGAGAATCTTACCTCAAAACATGCATCAACTTCATCATGGCCTTGCAGTTTGTTGGCAACTTCATCATGCTAAGGATCTCTCTCTCTCTCTCTCTCTCTCTATTCTGGTATTATTTCTATTTGCACGCCGTGGGGGTTCCATTGAAGCAGATACTGTGATGATTTCTGCAGCAGGTGTTGCACATGCAGGGGCAGAGTCCCACTTTTTCTATGGAAGTTAATGTCATTAATCATGTTGAAGGACATTTTAATCATGTTAAAGGCCATTTCCTTATTTTTCACAGATGGTTTATGAGAAAACGTAGAATTTTAACAGGATTAACCTGAAAACTATTTTATTTTATTTTCCTGAGAAACATTGTAATGCCTAGTTATCACAAATTCCTGCCACTCCACTGATGATGAGGTTGCACTTGTGATACTCGTGGCTTACCTTTCCTTTATGCTGGATAAAGAATTAACAATGCCACATTTGCATGGTAGGCTGTGGGCGTAGACTTCATATCTTCAAGGTAATTTCTGTAGGTAAGAATGCCACATTTGCATGGTAAGAATACCTTTCCTTTATGATGAATCCCCACTACAGCACTACTTGGTTGCACAATTTCTGTAGGTAATTTCTTTCTAATCTTCGTTGTCCTACAGTGGGTCCTACAAGTGAACAAATGCATAAAATTTTGGTTAAAACAATTGCATAAATAAAGTGGGCTCCATCAGAAATGAATTCTATATATAATGCAATTTTTTACTTTTCTTCCCTTAAAGTGGGTCCCACAATTGTACAAGAAATAACTACATGAAATTTCCTGTGGGTCTCATCAGTGTAGAAAACTCAAATCTAAAGTACATGAATTTCCCTTGTTAAAGTGGATCCCACCACCTTGGAAAAACTAAATCAGGGAAATACTTTTTTTTTTTTTATTTCTTTTGAAAGGCTACACGCTACACAACGGGGTAGCCTATCCCCCAACTAGGGGTGGATTTGAGCTGAGCCTAGCCGAAAAGTATAAGGCTCGAGCTCCGTTCAAGATAGAACATTGAGTTTGAGCTCAACTCGAATCAAAAACTCATAAGCTTGAGTTTGGCTCGGCTCGAGTTTGATTTGAGRAAAAAAGTTTTATGAAAATACAAAATTATATATAAAAAATATTTTTTATTTGATATTTAAATAATTAAGAATTATAATATATTTATTATTATATATATATATATATATATATATATATATATATATATATATATTCGAGCTTGATTTGTTTATTAATTGAGTCTGTAAATTGGGCTCAAAGCTCGGTTGAAATCAAGCTGAGCCGAGTTTTTCACAAGCCGAGTTCGAATAACTCGTGAAGAGCTTGGCTTGTGGCCACCCCTACCCCAACCCATAAGAACCATAACCCCTCCACCCAGGTGTAGGCAAGATCAGATCCCAAATCTCCACTACGACCAACAGACCTTGCCAACCAGCTGATAAGTTAGATCAAATTATGGACCAATATGACTGGATTTTTCGAGTTCACATCTGCGCCTAACAGAGGGCTGAGGGTGCCCCCACAAATGCCCCACATGCATTGAGAACATCTCCCGTACTTGTCATTGGGAGATGTTCCACCTGACCTGGATATGATATTATTGAATATTCCGATCCTTATTGAATTGGATCGGATTGGACCAAAGCCGGTCCATTGACAACCTTCGTATGCAGTTCCATTCTTCCCAGCAATATCACCTTGGAATCATGCTCAACCCAAATGTCAGAAGAAATTGCTTGTGAGAGAGACACCTATACAAATTCATCTTGCAGCGATCCTGTTTCTCATGTTCTTCTGTAAGGCGGATTTGTATCCTAAGCGTTGCTCATATCTGAGAAATCAAGTTTAGGATTCTGATGTTGAAATTTTGGCCAAGTAATCCGGATGTTTCCTTCACCCCTGCCACCGTTCCACCCTTCTTCTATGGTGGCAATGGCGGCCCGGACCATCCTGGAGCTAGGGCCAGGGTTGGTACACCAGGGTTCAGCCATCCATGAGGCCATGGTCTGAAGTGATCCAATTCATGACTTCAGGATTTGGATCCATACTTCCATGGATTCCATAATGGAGATTTACAGGGTAAATGATCTTAGGGCTCGTTTGGTTTGCAGGAATAGGGGCCTGGGTGGAATCAGAATCCCATTCCCATTTCTGGTGGAATGGCGTTCTCTCATTTGAGGAAATGGCTATTCCCTCTCCGAATTCGGATTCAGTCCTCACAAAACAGTGCCCACACCGTCCTCACAGCTCCTTGCAACCGTGTATTGGGAATTTGGGATATCTCCATACTTGTATGTAAGGGTGTCAATAGACCAGTTTTGGATTGGACCCCATCCAGTCCAAAATCAATTTGGATGGATTGGACGGACCAACAAGACATACTGGATTGGACCAATCCGGTCCAAAATATTTATTAGATTGGATTGGACCTGGTTCGTCCGTAACAAATTTATATTGGATTGAGCTGGATTAAGCCAATATCTAGTCCATTGATATAAGATAAGAATATATGTGTCAATGGACTGGGTTTGGGTTGAAATCAATCTAAATCAAAATGAATTTGAACAGATTGGATGGTCCAGACATTGAATTGGACCGATCCAAATTGGTCCAAAACATTCATTGGATTGGACTGGACTTGGTCCATTTATAATAGACTCACATTGGACCAAAATCCAATCCAATTGACACCCCTATTGTATGTTTTTATTCATGAGGAGATATTCCCAGTGCACAGCCGCAAGTGGCTATGAGTATGGTGTGAACACCATTTTGTAAGGACTGAATGCAATCTCTCCCTCTCCCTCTTTTGGGAATGAAATCCCATTTCAATTGATTTCAATTCTCATTCTGATTCCTGTCTGAACCAAACAAACTATGGAAATAGACCATTCCAATTCTGATTCTAACAGATTTTGATTCCGTTTTCAATTCTAATTCAAATTCCAACCGTAAACCAAACAATGTTTGGATGTTTCTGGCCCGTGGGCTTAAAATGTAGATTGCAGACCATTAAACATTACCCGAGTCCAGCATTTTATGTCAATTTCATGCCATCCAGCCAGTCTTAATGCCTTCTTATCCCATAAAACAATACCCAGGCCCACTTAGAAGAAGAATCATAAAATTTTTCTTTAATTTGCTTCACTGCATAATATCATCAAAATTCAAAAGTCCGTAACCCAATCCATCACCTTTACATAAAATAATGATAAAGTATGAGCCCGGTGGCTCAGGTATGCAGACAGGCACAACTACTAATACCTCTATCCATAATCTACAAAGGAATACACGTTCTAACACCCTATCAACATGATCTGACACCACATATTTCACGATGACATTGAGACCCACCATAAAAGTGGAAACCGTCATATATATATGAGATGTGTGGTGTCAGATCATGTTGGTAGAGTATTGGAACATGTTTGGAGATCTCAACACCTTTGACCATGTAAGTACAAATATATATTGTAGACGCTGACTTAGCATGACTGACAGCCTAGCGTAGGAGCCCGGAACGACCAAGTGACGAGCCCACGAAGCAGTCTGCTATGTTACAGTACACGAGGGGAGGAGTCTGCCACAAGGCGAACCTCGGGTTCCTCGTGCTATCTTCGAAGAGATACTCCGAGGCAACTGTAGCTCGCGAGCTAAAGTCGAGCTCCCTAACAGACAAGTCATTCCGAGGACCAATTTCACTAAGGGTAATCCTAGAGTGTTCCCAGCTCGCCACGAGATAGCTCGCGAACGAGCTGCACTAGCGCCCTCCAGGAAGCTTCCGACTGACAGACCGTACCGATCAGACTGCACCATATCCTATGTTGACGGCGCAGTCCCAGTCCTTTCGACAGTGTGTCCACGTCTCTCGACAAGCAAAGGCATGCCTGCCACTTTGGAAACGTGTCACTCATCTGGGCGAAGCGTACACCACAACGGCCACCTGCGCAGCCCTGGCAGGTAACAGCCGTGGCAGGAGCCCAGTGGCAGTTATGCCCGACCTAATGTGAATGTCCCTATAAAAGCCCTCAGGGCAGAAGGAAAACTTCTTCTTGAATCTCTGACCTCCTGAACATAATGATAACGCGCTATCCTCACTCTTAGCCTTCGTTCTCCTTTTGCTTCTTGCACATAATACTAACTTAAGCATCGGAGCGTTCCCGTCGGGAAACCCCTCAGGAGTTCTTCCTTTTTCCTCTCATCTCAGGTACCTCTCAGGAGCCACATGAGCGCCAGTGTTATGAGCACCCGCACCACACGGCAGCAGTTGAGGCAACAGCGCGCACATGACAGGCACCGCACGACAGCGGCACCATGAGCCGCGCGCAGCACCG